CACTCACTCACTCACTCACTCACTCACTCACTCACTCACTCACTCACTCACTCACTCACTCACTCACTCACTCACTCACTCACTCACTCACTAAGTTAAACTTGCGTACAAGTGTACCTGTGAGCACTCCGTTCTTCTCGCCCGGCTCGCTCCAGCTGACTTTGAGCGAGGTGTCCAGGATCTCGGTGAAGCTGAGGTGACCGACAGCACCCGGGGCTAGATGAGGGGGGGGAAAAAAGGAAGACTAATGAGCACAGCCGACGGGTAAATGAGCCGTTCTGCACGCGCTCTGATCACACTTTGGATTTTATTCCCATTGCAAAATCAGCTCCATCCAACCTGACGAGAACAAACAGGTGAAGTGAAAGTTTTACAGCTTGGCGACTCCTTAAACTCCATGATGGCTGAATGCYSAACGTTCATTAGCATCTCCCTGCAGATTGCTGCGACATGAATAATAGATCTTGCCGAGAGGACGTGCCGCTGTGAGACACGCGTGAACCCTCGCCGGCTCGGCGGAGAGAGAGAGAGAGAGAGAGAGAGAGAGAGAGAGAGTGGGGAGGAGAAACTGCTTACTGTCCTCGTGAGTCCTCACTGCTTTAGGTGGGCTGCGGGGACCGTCTCCAGGTGTAGTGAAGCACAACACGGAGGTGTAGTACTCGGTGAACTTCTTCAGGCCCGTCACGTATCCCACGTGGACGCTGTCCTGGAAGTTTGGTCGAACGGTTACCATGGCAGCGTCCTCGTCTTTGCCGCGTTCCCAGGCCAGCAACTGAGAAGGAAGAAGACGACAAATAACCACAAATCCAAAAACTACTCGTGCCACTTAAAATCAGTCTTTTGCACCCAACACTCCTCTGTGGAGCCTTACTTGTCATTAGGGGCACCACCAGTGGGAGGGGAGATGGGGCAATGCCCCACCAATTTCATCCTCAAGTTCAGGCTTTTACTTTGTGCTCATTTTTAATTTTCCTTAAGGTCCTGTCACATCATAACCATATAGMTRAAACAGAMGAACAGAGTCGGTGTGTCTTATCAATACGAGGCCTCTCTGTAATTTTAAACAAAGTTGGTTACGTTTTAATGTCTGACATGAAAGGAACTGCCTCCAGGGGTGTGYCCAAGTCAMATGTACACGTTACTTTACTGCAGTGATGTTATAATTATACAGTTTCCTCTTAGATCAGCTAGGGAGAGGGTTGTTATTGTTTTGGTTCTGATAAGGCCCAAGGCCTTTCACTCCCTCAGAGCTGCTGCTGGCCAACTGTGGGCCTAAATGGAGTCAGATTTTTTTAATAAAGCTTTTTAGAAGAGATCAACTGGTTTTCTGCAAATTTATTCCTACTTCTAATTAACTGAACACGATTTTCCTACATAATTGTTAGCATTACATTTTGTGTAGGTCCAAAAGAGATTTTAAATTCTGTCTTCAGCAAAGACATCTTTTGTGTTGGACAAACTTTTTACAAGTTGTCTAAAATGTTATAATGTGACAGGGCCTTTAGCTATTTAGGATTAGTAGAAACTTATAAATTTAAAAAAACATTGTTTTTGAGAAACAGTTAAAAACATCAGTATATATCTTATTTAAAATTAAACTGATACTTAAAATTTAACCCTCTCTGAATAAAGACAACCAGTTTAAAACAAATGTCCTCTACATCTGGAGGTTAGAGGCATTAAATATATTAATTATAAATAAATTTACTAGGAACATAAAATTTGGCAGCACTCAGGAGTTGAAAGTGGGCCAGTCTGTCAGGAGCTCCCAGACTGTGACTGTAGGAGATGAGTTGGCAAAATAAAATTGTGAAAAAAAGAACGTTTCTCTTTTTGTTTTACTAAATGAGTGTTTGTGACCAGCGACCACCTGTTTTTTTTTTTCAAATAACAGACTCCATTTGTGTGCATGGGAGGCAGAGCTGGTTCTAGGATGTGTACTTTGCCCATGTTGTACCCACCTCACCAGCCCCTTCAACACTGTCAATTTAATTGATTGAAGTAGACGTATGAAATGAAGACACTCTGAATTGAAATAATTCTTAGTTTTTAGACCCCTAACATTTGAGGCTCTGATGTTTCCTGTCACAGGAGAGCTCCTTTCAAAATAAAGCTCTACCTCTCTGGATTGTAAGCTAATTCAAGAGGGGTTGGAGATGTCAGTAACAGCTTTTTTTAAAACTTAAAAAAAAAAAAACAGTTTTCAGAAATCGGGCCAAGCAATTTTCAATCAATAATGCCAATTTGTTTATTTTTGGCTCAGAAGTAAATTTGAAAACTATTTATACAGACTGCAATATATCAAGTTTAAAAAGAAAGGAAGATGCAGCACAGAATTAATGCTTGAAAAACAACGTTTACTTCTCCACAGCCTGACTGCAGCCTGGCTGGTGAGCTCGGGGCTACCGGTGTTCTGCTAAGTTGGACTGAACCAACTCAAATCTTAGGAGGAGGGGTGTACAACAGATGGTGTAGAATAAAAAAAAACACAAAACACCACCTGGTTTTGTCTTACTGATGGGAGTGAGAACATGTTAGGTCAAAAATCAAGTTTTCASACTGAAAAAGAATGATAAAGCCTGAGAATGAGATGAGGATAAACGATTATCCATCTGATTTTTTTCCACCACAGAATAAATTTTCCTTCTTCTTTTTTTTTATCCGTCCCCGAAGTCGTTATTTGACACAGTTTCATTCAAAATCCTTACTTTCTGTTTTCCCTTTGCTCTTCTTAAGCTTTTTCTCCCTGGAGAAAAACCTGARGTTTAAAATTCAGAATCTGGCYGCACGGCGGCTCAGTGGTTAGCACCGACGCCTCACAGCAAGAAGGTCCTGGGTTRGATCCCCGGTTCAGACCTGGGGTCTTTCTGTGCGCAGTTTGCATGTTCTCCTCGTGCTTGCGTGGGTTTTCTCCAGGTACTCCGGTTTTCCCCACCCCGCAAAACGTACAATAGGTTTCCTTCAGGCCCAGGCCGCCCTTGAAAAAGAGATCTGAGATCTCAATGGGACTTGCCTGGTAAAATAACGGTAAATAAATAATCTCTTTTTTTAAATCATTGACCCACCCATCCAGCTGCGTAATGTTTGTGGTGAAAGTCTTTATAAAAAGAAGGTYCAAACACCCAGTGAAATCATTAAATCAGCAGGATAATAGATAATAGAACTCCACACTATATGTGGCTTTTTAAAAATTCTCCATGGGCTTTATCCAGTTGAAGGTCTTTCTATGAATGGACAACATTCAAGAGAGAGTGGCTAAAAAAATTGTCATTCATCAGTAAATTACACAGAGCTGCACAAAAGAGAGAAATAATAGAAAACGTGAAGAGTTTCATTTAATAAATGATAAACAAAAATCCACCGCTCTCATTGGTACRGATCACTGTTTGGCTTCCCGTCCTTTTCTCTCCCGATGGAACAAGCTTTGCTCTGACTGCTCAGTCAGTTGGGGTGATGCCGTGGGAGTGACTGACCTTGTAGCCCTGGTTGATGCCGTTGATAAACTGAGGGTTCGGGGCGGTCCAGGTAAAACGAATAGCTGTGGAGTTGACCGCCTCGGCCTGCACGTTGCCTGGAGCGATGGTGGGAACTGGGATGGATGATGAGAACAGGGGAATAAAGAGGTGATACAGGAGGATGGGGGGGAGAGAGAAGAGAAAATAGAAAGAAGTGAGGAGATTAAAGAAAACAAGTGTGTGAGTGTGACTTCCAGCTGATGGCTAGAAGTCTGCCTGCATGTGTTTTGTTGCCAGTATCGATCCGCTGCACAGGTCAGGACAGGTCTGGCCATCACTCTCCATCTGACACTTCCACCTAATGCCGGAGCTCTTACTGGGGTTGCTCCCGACTCTGTCAGCTACGTATGGATTTTCAGCTGGTGTCACGCGTTTATGTGGTCCTCATAAATACGATATTCGGTAGTTTCTGATGAATGAGTTTAGARCAGAACACATCAGATTAAAGGCCTAGCGGTCCTTGAAAGAATACACAGAGCATCACCTGCTGCCTTCTGATGCCAGAGATTTAAAGGGATCCCTGATTAGTTGTAACATTAGACTTTATTTGATAAACATATATTTTAACTGTAAAATAAAGACTGTAAAAATACTGTAGGGTGTTTAGTTTTGTAAATTTTAAAAAATATATATTTTAACACGGATGGAGCCACTTTTTTTACACACAAAGCATTCTGGGTAAATGATGACGTGGATAGGTCCTCAGTGTGAGCGAGCTAGATCCACCCTGAAGGTTAATCTTGGACAATATCTGACAATAGACTTTTTTTTAATGAAACCAGAGAGCGTTGACAGAGAGGAGAAGGTAGAAATGARTCAGCCTGMAACTGAAAATATGGATGGAGGACAACAGAGCTGCTTCATGGAAGAAGAACCTCAGCTTATCCTGTTAGCTTTAGCTAGCGCGACAAACAAGCTAAACTGAGGTCCTCCATCCATATTTTCAGTTGCAGGCTGTTATTTTTGTGTTCCCATCTCTGTCATGTGGATAGAGGACCTCTGTGATGAGAGGAGAATGTGTAGCGCTGAGCTAATACATATATTTGGTGATAGCGTCGGGGCTAACGCTAAAGCTAACAGGCTAAGCTGAGGTTCTTCTTCCATGAAGCAGCTCTGTTGTCCTCCATCCATATTTTCAGTTACAGGCTGAGTCATTTCTACCTTCTCCTCTCTGTCAACGCTCTCTGGTTTCATTTAAAAGAGCCAAWCGTCAGATATTGTCCAAGATTAACCTTCAGGGTGGATATAGCTCGCTAGCAGCCTCGCACCGAGGACCTATCCACGTCATCATTTACCCAGAATGCTTTGCGTGTAAATAAAATGGCCCCATCCGTGTAATATATTTTTAAACTTTTAGTTTAAAAAATAGAAACTAAACATCCTACAGTATTTTTAKAGTCTTTATTTTACAGTTAAAATATATTTTTATCAAATAAAGTCTAATGTTACAACTAATCGTGGATCCCTTTAAACTGAGATCAGATAATAAGTTACAGCATTCAAGCGTTTTTGGCTCAGAGTCGGTGCTGTGAATAACCTTTTTACTGTCACACCTCATTGTAGCTCAGTATCTAGAAACCTTAGTGTCTTATTTATTCACGTATAATATGAGCCTCATTTTTTTAATCTTAAAAAGCATTAAAATATAGTCCTCATATAGAATGCTACCACTAATTTCAGCCAGACCTCAGCATTTTTCAGCCTCTGTGGTGCGACGTCAGATGGGAAAGCATTACTTGGGAACGCACACTTGTGGGCGTGTTTGTTGCTGTCGAGGACGAGCACTGGAAAAACAATCCTCTCCCAGAGCAGAAGCAAGTTTGTTAAATTAGCAAGATGGACTTCTCTGAACACAAACATGTAGGCCTGTCCAGTAACAAGTTTTGCTGGACAATAAATTGCCTCAGAAAATATTGCGATAACCAATAATATTGTTGGGAGACCATTTAAAACTGACATGGTACCATTCCCTCGCTTATGAATCTTACAGAAATTTGTGAAATTTAAGTACGTTAAACAAATAGAGTTATGAACTGACCCGGATCAAAGATTGGAAAAACAACACATAATAACAGCTGCACATCACTACCCACCTCTATCGAAGCCCGCACAAAATATTCTTTGTGTATTTCCACTGGCTTCATAAGCTTATTGCGATCACTCGCACGCTGCTTACAAAGTTTACGAACGTTTGTGAGAAATTTACATAAAGTACAAATAAACAACATCAGCGAACCCAAGGTTCAAAGAGTAGAAAAGAGGGAGACACGAAGAAAAAACAAGCAGGCAGATGAAAATTTTTGGCCCTCATTTTAATTTATCGCGTAATTAATTGATTAATTGATTTATTGCGACAGGAACACGCAAATAACGTCCACGTCTTTTTTCCATCGCCATGGTTAACGAGAAAAAAAAAGTRTGGTGAGTAAACATCTACTGTTCATATGCTTCGCTATGTGCAACGTACTGTGGGAGGGAGGGAGAGATTGTGATGATTRATCCCCCGTAACGCAATATTTAAGGTTACACTGCAAAAAATGTCCACCTAACCAAGTTTTAAAATCTTATATCCAGTCAAAAKGTCTTTTTGATCTTGTTTCGAGYCTGATTTACTAAACAAGAACTGATTGTGTAAGAATAATAATCTTGTTTTCAGAATGTGTAAGATTATTTGTCTTGTTAGTCTGAACATTTGACACAAATTAAGTAAAAAATTTCTGCCAATGGAGTGAGACAGTTTTACTTGGTAAGATTCTTGAGATACTTGATTTGACTCAATTTTTTTCTTATTTCAAGAATCTTACCAAGTAAAATTTTCTTACTCCACGGGCAGAAATTTTTGACTTAATTTGAGTCAAATTTTCAGACTAACAAGATAAATAATCTTACACATTCTGAAAACAAGATTATTACTCTTACACAATCAGTTCTTGTTTAGTAAATCAGTCTCAAAACAAGATCAAAAAGACTTTTTGGCTGGATATAACATTTTAAAACTTGGTAAGATGGACAGATTTTGCAGTGTACATACAAGACCAAAAAAAAAAAAAAAAGAAACTTATTCTGGTTGTACCTTAGGACAAAAGTCAAGCAAGATTTACCCCCGTGTATTATACACCCCCCCTCCCCCCATTTTATAAATGATTTTTGGGGTTAAATTTCTCACATTGTACATGTATAAATATGATAAGCTTAGGCGTATTTGACAGGAACATTTTAAATGGAGTTAACTCAAAAAGTTGTACATTAATACACATATATAAAAAAAAAATAAAAAATAAAAAACCTAAAGTATTATTGCCAGTTGTGTTTGATGATGGGTGATAAGAGCAACAAAGTTAAAACTATGACCTTTTTGTTTATCTTTAAAACCATTTCTGCACTTGTCGCAAACATTTCCTTAATCTTGCTCATCCTGCATTTTTTTATCCAGCTTTAAGGAGAAGCTTTTATGAAGTCTCAGTCAACGCAGCATCTAAGGTTTGCCTAAAAGAGCCGAGGACTCACCCCCCTGAAGAGTCCACTCAGTGACTTTGTGGCTGAAAGCGCCCAGTCCMGCCCCGTTGTAGGCGGCCACTTCGATCTCATAGTTCGTCCAGATGATGAGGTCCTCCAGCAGCAGCGTGGTCACGTCGGGGCTGGAGATGTTCTTCATCTGGTAGTCCACAGGCAGCCCTGTGAGACGGTAACTGAAACACACACTCATGACTTTAAAAAGCTGCAAAACAAAGAGAGAAATTTTCACAGTTCCTTTTCTTTTTTTTGTCTCGTTTTTTTTATTTTTATTAATCCACCAACAAAGACAGAACAGTTGTCTGCTGCAGTACATCAACATCCCTGCTAGGGGGCGACAAAGCACCAGCAAATAACCAGGCTGTTGAAATGCAAACAAAATCACTGACTTGTCTGGAAAAACACCTGTGGTTTCATGTGGATGTAATGAAGAAAAAAACCAAGCTAATTATATGTTTGGAGGATTTACAGTCAGTTTGGCTTATTGCTGACTTTGCATATTAGAGTTACCAAAGTTTGTTGAAGTCAACCCAGAAACAAAACTCATGGTTTTTCTCTGTCAAAAAACATTTATAAAACGGTCAAGTCAACTGATAGTGAGTGAAACATGATCTCACATAAATCACTTTTTCAAAACAAATGAGTTTATAATGTAAGACGCAGACGACAGACAGTGTCCTATTTAACATCGTTGTATTCACCTGGTCAGAAAAGTTTCAGCAAAATGGATTTCCAAACACACAATGTACCGGATTTAACCTGAAAATAGAAAAACGGACAGGTGCACGAACGGAGATTTTACCGGATGATGTAGCCCCTGAGGATGCCGTTCTGGTGGCTCTCCTGTGGCGGCTGCCACTGGATCATGATGGACTGGTTGGTTCTGCCGCTGGCAATGACGTTCTGAGGAGGGGCACTGGGGGGCTCCTCTGGGAGGGACACGCTGCGGAACACACACAAACGCAGWGGTAGAAGAAAATCATGGAAAAATCAAGATCTGGCTCATTTCAAAGTTCATTGTCCACTTTCATATTGCCCTCCACCAAATAGACACCAAATGGCATTTAACAGCTAAAAAAGTGCATTTTGCATCACGTGTCCCCTGTAAGGAATGTTGGACTTTTGATTTCAACAAGTTTGTTTTGCTGCCTTTAATACAATATCTGTACAGAAATCATTCCCGTCACAAACTGTATATTTGTTCAAACATAGAGCCTGGCCTGAGGAAAAGATGGAGATAATGTACAAGTGTGAGATAATTAGGGGTGACCAAATGAAGACTATGACATGTTCTATGCTGACCCCACTGTAACAACCAGACTGAGGGCGCCTCAGGAGATTCCTCTGTGGAGGGGAGCTGGCAGCAAGAAGTGCTGTGACAGACTGGTGGAGCAAGGCAGGGAGGAGGCGAGGAATAGATGGRAGGAAGCAGTGCTTGACGCCGTGCAAGGCCACAGAAGAGCCGGAGCTGATCTCCCCTCAGACTTAAATCCCCCCTGCAACTTTCTGACTGTTAAACAGAGCCTYTGTGTAGGAAAGTGAGGTTTTCTGTGTGGTTTTTCATCCATTTACACATACAGTTTATCCCCTTTACTCTGGACTGAAAAGATCAGCCTGGCTTGTTCTTCAAAAACAAACCTAAAGTGCACTTTGTGCTGTTTAAATTGCATTTCAATCCAAAATGATTGTTTTGAACCTACAGAGATGAACATTTTGTTCTTACTTTTTTGAAAAAAAAAAAAAAAAAACAGACAATTCTCATCGAAGAGTATCTCAGCAATATTCATGAATGTGTAGCTTCACAAGCAGCAGCTCAGGTTAGAAAGAAGGCAGAGGAATGACAGAGACATTTGTTTGAAATAAAGAAAAATGGAACAGTTAATTGTCTGTGGTGGGCACCAGCCCACTAAAGTGCAAATCCACTAACTGCGGACCTAAATATTTCATTTGCGCTTTAGCGGTCTTACTAATTTTTACACTTCATAAGCAGATTTGTGTTTTCTAAAATTAAAATGCAGTACCACTAATAACTAACTTTCTACTGGTAATCATTATCTTGAACAGTGGAAGGTATGGTTGTCAATGAAACACAACAAATGTGATCTGTCCAACAGCACCCCTCCCAGATAAACATACTTATTGGAAAGGTATACATCCTTGCTGACTGTTGCTTTCGGTCACGGTTCTCATTTCCCACAATCCTTTGTGTCTGCTTACGTAGCAGGAAGGTAATGTTTAGAACTCCCTGTCCCAGCTAAAACAGTTAACGTTTGTAATACATACTAAAATTTTGTATTGATTTATTTTACTTTACAATCTGAGCTCCTTTTTAAAAAAAAGTTTAAACGCTGGAGCTCAATACTTGACGTAACTGGTCGAAGAAACGGGGTTAGAGACGCAGAAATGATTTAAAGATGTTATGCTGATGAAGACTGACATCTAGTGGTCAACTGGAGCAACTACATGGAAAACTTTAAAATCCAAGCTCTTATTTTGAAGGGAAGATAGTTCCCTGTACTCCGTGCTTTCGTTTCCCATCACAAATCAAATCTGTCATGTACCCAGAATGCATCGCTTCATTTTTCCAATAAACAGTTTCAAAATTACTTTATTGTTGCTTCTTTAATGAAAAATCTACAACAAACAAAAGAAAAAGACAAAGAAGCAGCCGAACTAGCAATCCTCAACAACTTTTTAATTTTTACACCAGGAGCTAAAGGTCTGTTTCAGGAACTCACATCTCCAGTAATCAACGGTTGTAGGATTAAGCTGTTAAAGGGTTCATACACCGCTAGCTGGCAGTGTTGTGCATATATTGTACATGAATTATTGCCAGCTAGTAAGTGTCAAATTGAATGTGCGCTTTAAAATTAGCTTCTGCTGGATTTCCATGGTATAATCGCATTTGAGGTTGCGGACCTAAATATTTATATAAGCGCTTTAGAAATTGCAGAGCTAATTTTTGGATTAGCGCTGCCCACCACTGTTAATTGTTAAAATGTCACATGTCTGCAGTTTCTGCAAAAATAAAATCCCAAAAGCTCACCATAGTGACCAAGCTGAACTACTGTGCAAAACAACTAAAATGTTCTGCCCATGATTCTTTGTTTCATGCCTCTGGCAACAACCTTGGCTAGCGGCATTATATTTTCTGGRTGTCCAAATGTCAATTCATTTCAAACTCATGAAACGTCTGTGTAATAACTTCAGGAAACCTTTGCTTGAATTCAAGAAAGATGGTTAAAAACTCAGATGAATCACATAACTCCCTTTTTTTACACTATTTGAGACAAATTTCCAAATGTTTCTGATAAAATGATGACAGAATAATGAAGTGAGGTGATGGATGTAAAATACAAAAAGCATGATTCAACAATCATAATGGAAAGGAGACGTTAAAGGAAAAATTTGACCGTGCGGTCAAATATTGCACCGGTGACACACTTTACTGCTGTAGCAGATTTTATAATGCAGTGTGTAAGACGTGAAACAAACATACTTTAGCATCTTTCAGCACATTTAAAACATTTTCCAGTTTTACGAGTTCAGCTAGGGATGACCAGGATCCACCAGTGGTGGGCACAGCTAACCAAAAAGTTAGGTTCACTAACCTCTAATCTGCTAAACAAGAATCCTAGCTCTGCTAATGCTAAAAAGATAAAACATTAATTGAAGCTAAAGCTAGCTATTTAAAAAGGCTGTCATTTTAGCCTGGGTCACATTTTCATCTCCTTCCAGTTGAAGACAAATGGGTCTGACATAAACCTGTTAGTTTTCTATTGGTTTAATTTGAAGGTGGGTGGGATCATTTGTGGCAAATCAGCCAATCCAAACCAGAGTTATGTTTAATTTGTGATGCTTCCAGTTTGTCCCTTTCCATATAAAAGCATTGCTTTGATCAGGTTTGTACCTTTAGAAATACCGTTTGAAGTTAGTAAAATAGCAAATACTTTATCATATTTTATAAGTAGTCAGTTTTTGGATTTACTTTTGTGGACTTAAAATTAGCAGAGGCAGATAGATCTGCTAATGGTCTCCAAACTTTGCTAAAAAGTTTGTCCACTAAATGAGAACCTAGTTCTGCTATCAGGAGCTTAGCAGAACTGTGCCTACCACTGGAATCGGCTGATTTTCAGTTTAATCAGATTGTTTTTCTGCTCTACAAACACACTGTAGCTAGCAGCTAAATTTATGCTAACGATGACAAATTTTCAGTGTGAATGTTTTTACAGAGAGGTAATTAAAAAACGTTTATAATTTCTGTCATCTGCCTAAAAATTAAAACCACTACTTCAAACTGGAATAACATAACTCTGCAGCTGGATTGATTTGACACGCACAAGGTAGTGATTTTAATTTGGCGTTTTCTAAGATTTCTCACCATGACAGACAAAATGGGGCACCAACAAGATGCATTTTAAACAGCAAACCCCCAGCCGTTCCACCAACACTTCCCAAAAAACGTCGCACTCTCTCATCTGCATAAACAATAATAAAAGATCATGTTGACGTGGTGCAAATAAAAAGGTTTGCCCTTTACTCACCGGTCGGTCTCCTTACTGAACTGCCCCTTCCCGACATCATTAACGGCACAGAGGCGGAACTGATAGGAGCGAGCCGGGATGAGGCCGTTGACCGTCACTGCTGCGGAGTCCGGTTCGATATTTGCCAGGAGGATGGCCCAGGGAGCATCTGGAACAAAGCAAAATCAAAAGGTTCAAGCTCCACATGAACACAAGCACAGAAAAACATTGTTCATTGCCAAGAGGTGCAACYTTTCCAGAAATTTAAATACAAACAGAATTTAAGGCTTCTTTTGTATGCTGAGAAAGGATAGCGTTAGAGCTGTTTCGTTACTAATACACCAATTTAAGCTTAGTATCTGTAAAACTGACTGTAGTTAAGATATTCCTGTTTTATGCTAAAATAGCATAGCTGCGGCAGCCATCTTGAACTGGGTTAATTCTAAAGGTTAACAGCAGTAAAAGTACATCCATTATTTACTTTTTGGGAGTTTTATTCATCTGTCCACTGGTTAATGAAATATTTAAATGCTAAGACTGCCATCCATCTAGGGGGTGCCACAAATGGGGATGAAAAACAATATTTTAAACATTCAGTGGATTTAGTCTGTAGAATAATCACTGGTTCCTCAGGTTTATTATTACATGAGGTGTTATATGGTGCAGAAGATATTTCACAATAAACATATCGTATGATGCAGTAAAGACGAACTACTGGTCAACAGAAAATAAAGATAGAAGTTTCAGTTCTGATCTCAGATAAAGTTCAGGTTAAAGTCTGGTTTTCCGTGTTCTACCTTCACAAAATACCAATTTTATGTTTTATTAACCCCAAATCCTCTTCAAACAGCTTGAAAATGCATTTTGAGTAGATATTTTACAACATTTTCCAGGAAAGTATACTCCTGGATCCCCCCTAGAACTGCTTCAGTCCACAGCTGTTTGTTAACATGAGCAGGTGTTCCCCGTTGRTGTCAGCAGATGTTGGCAGGTACGAGGTAGATTTCTGGTATTCTGTTTCAAATGAARTTTATTGTTAACTCTTTTAACTGGACAACATGGTTCCTAAAAATAAAAAATGAGAGCAAAATTTTGAAAAATGCACCAGGATTGCCACATTGGCTAGGGCTGGCCCTGACGAACACCCAGGTAGTCACAGATACTGTATGAGCAAAGACATTTTCACCCGTTCACCTTTGGTTGGATAAAAGAAGATAATCAACACACTATAAATAAATAAATAAATAAAGTTGGACCCAGAGAAACTTTAGTGTTTTAAACACGACTGAAAGCAATGATAGGCATTCTTAATTAGGCTCATTGATCATGTTTCTGAATTCTATTTGATCGACTCATAAGTTCTCTGCATTTAAGCTGTTTGGAGAAAAACATCACAGGAGCCTCACTGCATGGTGGGAGAAAAGAGGCTTAAACAAGAAATACTTTACATGTTTTTAACTTAGCAGAGTCGATCCCTTGAGTTCTCTTTTCACTAAAAACAAGTCCTAATAAATAACTAATAGTCCTTAAATTGATAGTCTAGTCACTTTTTGAAGTGATGTTCTGTTTAATAGTTATTATTTTGCACTTAGTCATGGAGCAAGAGACAAAAAAAGTCCATGCTATGGCTATCCAAACAAGGGTCACTTTTTCTGTTTTTATTCACCTTCCAGGTTTAAAAGAAACATRTCTCCAAAAGTTTATTCAACTTATTAATCAACGTTTAAGTATTTTAGAATGGAACACAGCCTTTGCTGTTGGCGACAGCTCTTGTTAGGACGTCATCACCCTAAAACAATAGCGACTGTTAACATTCCAACGCAGTTAAAACTTCCTTAGAAGACATCAAACTTGCAGTTGCAGCCGGTGTCCGAGCTGCCCATTAAACTGCCTGACCACAAGAACCATCCATGCTGTTTTCAATAAAAACATTTCAAAATTAGTATTTAAATACCATCTTTAGGAGCGTTAGAAAAGGTAGCAGAAGTGTGAGTTAGTGTTATTTAACCAGGATGATGTCATCAAACTGCAACAAACATCAACGCTAGCCGCTGCTAAAATAAGATGTTGGGCTATGTCTCAATTCAGGGTTTGCAGCCAACCTAGACTGAGGCTCCAGCCTACATGGCGCGGGTAGGTTGCATAAACTGGTGTGAAATGAAATGGTCCAGCCTTTGGATGTATGTTTGCGTGACTACATCCTACCATGCTAACATGGTGTTTTATGCCTTCAAACTTAAAATGTGTTGGCTTTAGCTCCAGTATCAGTACTTGTAATCACATTTACTTAAAGGGGCAATATTATGAGTTTCTCAGGCATATATTTAAATACTATARCATAYTATAGTATCTATGTCACCTTTAGCTGTTATTAAAAGGCTGCTTTTATGGTTCAATAGAAAATAAACATGTCTTCTCATCACTTCCTCTTCTAAAAGCCTTGAAATTGGCCTCTGTCTCTTTAAGAACCACCTTCTCCTTCTGCCCCGCCCCTTTTCAGTGCAGCTGAAAATACATTTCCTCAAAGGTATTTTGAATCTGAAAAGGGCTTCACTGAGTGAGAAGTAGTGTTAAGAGCTCAGCAGACAGTTTCAGTTTCACTTTCAGTTTCACCAGTTGRTTGTTTTGTTGCTGCTGAGAGCCTGCAGGAGTCATGGGCGGGGTGTGTGGGGTGGGGGGTGGGGAGGTGTGCTCTGTAATGAGGAAGCTCAGCTTGGAGACATAGCCCAGAGGCGGAGATGGTCCCAAAAGGTGGTTCTAGTCCAAACCGGTCATTTTTGCTCCCCTGCCTGCTGCCTCAGGACACCACAGGATTTCTCAAACATGCATGAATGAGTCAAAGCAAGGCTTTGGTCACGTTTTTGATGAGAGTTTAACATTATAACATGATATAAAACTCAAAAAAGTTGATTTTACATGAAAACAAATTCTTCAGTCCATGATGAATTTCCGAACTGTACTGACTTGGTAAAAAAAAAATTCCGCCTTTGGCGAGGGGGAAGTGACATAAGCAGCCAACAAAAGCATTAGCAGCGGCTAGCATTGATGTTCGTCGCAGGCTGATGACATCATCCTGGTTAGCTAACATTAACTGTTGCTAATGATGTGATCCAACTCAAAATGGCCCATGGACCACCAGTTGATAATCACAATTGTAGCACGTTTTGAGGCTCGGGACTCATTTTCTTAGTGCGCCAAGGAACAAAAACGACTTTTGATTGTAAAGGTTGCAGACCCCTGGTCTAGACTGGCATGGAAAGTACACATCTTTCAGGGGTCAAGAGAAACTGAAATAGACTTACTGTTTTCAGAAACCTCCAGGATGTAGCGTATGAGAGGGCTGTTGCCATCAAAAGGCTTCGCCCAGGCCAAGTCGATGGCTCTTTTTTCCGACTTGCTCAACACGGCCGTGGGGTTGTCCGGGGCGTGGGGGAGCTGCCTGCAGGGGAGACACAGGACAACTCCGATAAATCAAACCGAGTCTCGATAACAGCAAACGGGCTTTCTGTAAGGGGGTGAGTGGGTGGGTCAGAGTAATACTGAGCGGTTTGCGCCGACGCTGAACATCTCTCGTAAAAAAGGCCTGAAGAAATAATAAAAAGAAAAGTTGAACAGAGATGTCAGTTAGACAGGTGATGAAATGTGACTTGACAAGAGAGCAAAGATGGTTCCTTGTCAAGACGGACACGCGGGCAAACAAAGCGAGATGGATATTACCACAGGGGGGAGAAAAAAAATGGATTGAAAGGCATTAGGAGAGAGATAGGAGGAAAACGCTCAGACAGAGACGTGAATAAATGAGGCCAAAGCTGAGGATCATTAATACGCGCAGCCATAAATTCAGATAAGCGCAGACAGATTGATATATAAACCTTAAAGCAATGAACGGATAGTAAGTCAGACAAAGAGGCAGACAGCCAACAAGAAGGCCGATAGCAGGACGAAGATAGAAGCGCATAGAGTTAGATGTCGCATTCATATTCAATTTAACCTTACTGACTCACCGGGGGCCAAAAAAAGCATGTCAAATGATAAGATTTCATGGCAAAAACAATACAGAAGTGTATGTGTGAGGAAGGGTGTGTGTGTGTGTGTGTGTGTGTGTGTGTGTGTGTGAGAGAGAGAGAGAGAGAGAGAGAGAGAGAGAGAGTGTGTGTAAAAAACGAAAATGTGTGCCTTTGCATTAGAGAGAAAGCAAAGACGAAAAGAGAAAGGGAGCAGAGGAAAGACGGAGGGGGTTACCTGACTCGCAGGTGAGCGCTGCGGGAGTCGTTGCCTCCGACCGAGGTGACCCTGCACGTGTACGTGCCGATGTCGCCGGACCAGGTCTGCGAGATGTGCAGGGTGCCTTCTGCCTCCAGGCGCATGCGGGGAATGGACTGCACGTTGATCACTGAGCCATCCTTTTCCCAGACGTGCCTGGAGAGAAAAAAAAAGATGTTTGTGTCAAAGAACGTTATTCTAAACTGAACTCTAAGGTGAGCACAGAGCCCGTCCGGTGACAGAAACTGACTGTTGATTGTTACTTGCAGTTAGACATAAAGTAATTGTTAGAATTTTATGTTACAGCTATAAGACACTGGTGACCACTGGAGCAGTCTGTGTTCAAACGCTTTCTTTTCTTTTTTTTGAAACTTAAAGGCACAGTGTGTAGGATTTTGTCAATTCTTTTAGCCAAAATTGAGATAATCCCTAATGACAATAAAAAACATGTCTAATCTTTGCAGACGAAGACCTTGTTTTATTATTTTTACCTTATAAAAAGCTGTTTATATCTTTATGGTCGCGGGTCGCCACTACAGGCAGCCGCCATCTTGTCTACGAAGGCTCATGAAGGACAAACTGCGGTGGTGGCGTCAAAAACGGTTACTATAAATGTTATATTTGTTGTCTGTCATTGTAGCTGGGATAATTTTACTTATTAAAGCTCATAATCTTACCACTTGAAACAGCACTAGCCCTGAAGCTGCTGGTAGACATCGCGGTTGGAYTTATCAAAGGTTTTTGACACCTGAGAGACACCGTAGCAACTCCTTTGCGTTTGGAAGCGTGGGGTGGGGGTGGGGGGAGGACCAGGGAGGAGGATTCAACCACTCAACCACTAGATGTCGCTGAAAACAACAAATCCTACACACCGTGCCTTTGCTACTGAAAGAGTTGGAGCTATGATACATTCAGGAACACAGAAAAAAATCTGTTTCTCGACACACCTATGGTGTTCATTGTCAAAAATACTATGACAAATAAACAGTTTAGAATAAACACACAAAAATGCATACATAACAACAATAATAATAACAATAWGTGGTACGTTTGAAAAGTTAAAACAAAAAAATCAGCTTATTCATGCATAATCTGGCCAACAATGTCTGMATCTTTCACAAAGTGACACGACTGTTCAACATTACCAACATTGTGGCCACAACATAGTAATGTGTGGCCACAATTTTTTTTTAATTCAGTGCCACCGAACGGGCTCTGTAGGTGATATTAATGTGATTTTTCATTGTTTTATTAAGGTTAGTCAGAAACAGAACTCAGTTTAAAAAAATAAAAATAAAAGCAACTCTCTATGAAAAGATAGATTCCTTTGTTATTATTGAAATTGTAATTACATTAAACAACAGATTTGTGTCTACATGGGACCACAGGTTTGATTAGRTAGAAAATATTGCAGTTTCTTCCAACCATTGTTTAATGGTTAGACAGTAATTAGTTAAAAATAAAAATTGAACAAAGGCACAAAAATGGGATTTATTCCTTGGAATAAACTGAAGTTCAGACCTTTAGAACTGAGACACCTTGAGATTTTATTGGCAGCGATTTAATATATTTCTGTGCTGTAGTTTCTGTTTGAGTGTTTGTCATAAAAAATACAACATAGCATGGCACAAATAAACTAAAGAAATCATATTATTGCTGTGACTAAAATAGGTGCAGCAGTCGTCGTGCTTTGCTTCTCCTGCAGCAGAGTTTGAGAACGTCTCACTTCGCTGTTATTTAGCCTCTAATGCATCGTTTTGATTAGTCAGGAGTGAAAAATGTCCAGCTTTTGCTAGAAGTTGTCAAATCTGTGCAGTTGGGAGGCTGCTCGGTTTGGCTTTTTTGGCTGTTAATAAGATTTAAGGGTGAACCTCAGGTGGAAGTTTCAAATAGCTTATAGCTTTACTGGGTTAAACTACGGTTAGTGCAAATATACAAATATTTTCAAATTTCAAATATTAATTTTTTCCACGTATGAATGCGTTGCAAATTAGCAGTTAACTTTATGACAGTAAAGCCGTGAGCAAACAGGATTCTGTTGTTTCTATTTAAAACACTAAAAAAAAGGATGAACAAATTATTAGCGAGGCAGCTCATCATCTTCCCTGTGCCTCCTCATCAGAGCTGACCTGCCAGCGCYTCAGAACGCCTAATGGCTGCAAATCAAACGGAGAGCTCCCGCTCATCAGAACCACACAGCTCAATCGCAGCCTCAGATGTAGCTCTCTCGCTTCGACATAAAGCGATCGAGGAGTCTATTGATCACTGGGTACATGGCTGCAGATCAGGAACGTTTTCGATTGAAAGAGCTGACAACAGATGTGAAGGTATTTGACAAACCCTTTTACATGACACACATCCCTGTGGGCTACAAAACGTAAAACTATGTCACAGTCAGGAGTTTTAATGTTTGAACAGWGTTTATATGAWACGTCTGTGAAAGGAAAGAAGCCCTAAAGTTCATCTGCTGAGACACGTTTTCAAGTCTGTCAATCTGGGTTGTTTTAAATATGTCCTCATATGAATTTAATTCAAAAGTTGTGTATTTTAGAAATTTATTCAAAATGAAAAACCAAAAGTTTAGCAGTCTTCGAAATGAAACGAAAAATTTGCCGCATCTTTCTTCAAAAACCTTCTTTTAAAGGAGACATTTCACTTTTAAATCCTTCTTTTTCACATTTAAATCACTCAGTTTGTGTCTATAAGAAGTGGAACTGCAATGCTTTCATCTGAATTCCTCCTTATTGTAACTCCACAAGSCCCTCGTTCATCCCTTTTCCTAGGGTGTGTCTCAGATCAACTCGTTTTGAGGCTGTCTCTTTAAATCCAAATGAGCTGCCCCTTCCAGCTTTCAGAGCAGTCCACTCTATTTAGATAGAGGAGTTTACGAACATATAGCTGCACAGAAACTTTATATTTACAAATAAATTAAAAGATAACAATAAGGGAAGACTTGTCCATCCAGCCTRACATGTTGGAGCCAGAGTCCGACCCAGAGCCAGAGGGGAATGAAGACCACCAAATTGAAGTTGGTAACTTCAGACCTCATTTGGCAGTTACATCGCACATACTGTAATTTGATTAAAAAGTTAAGAAAACTTCATAGAAAATAAAGAAAACTGAACGGGTTGAAAAATACGCATATGAAAAATAACTTTTCTGCACTCCTAGGCATTCGATATACACAACAAAATGAATTTAACAGCTAAAAAAGTGGATTTTGCATGATAAATCCCCTTTAAACCGATAGTTCAGACATTTTTGACACAACAGTCTAACCTAATTGTTATAAAAGCACAAAATTTAGCTGATTTTTTGCTACGAGTTCAGGGCTTCATTTTTGCACTGAAGAGACTGAGAGCTAAAAAGAGCTGAAGAGCAATTTTTTCACGAGATCAACTGTTCCAACAAACTGAATGTTGTCTAAATAAAACCCTCCATGTTTGTGAGTGAACCCYTACCTGATAATTACGCTGGGGTCGTGTGTGACTCCACAGGTCATGATGGCTTTAGTTCCTTTGATAACACTTTGGTCCTGTGGGGGAGTGGTAATCCGAGTGCGAGCTGCGGTGACAAATCAAAGACTTGAGAGACCAGAGAAACCTCAAATGAACAGAGGCAAAAAAAAAAAAGTCAAATGAAATTCAGAAGACTCATTTTGGCTAATATGACACGCTGGAGATTGTGATTTATTTCCTGACAGCTTGTCAAAGAAAACCCTTCAATTATTTCTTCGAGTGAACGAACCGAGAGTGTCTTTGTTAAAAGATACCCCTCATTAAAACCTACCCAGTTTTTTCACCTCATTTTACAAATTCTCTTGACAATTCAGCCAATCAAAACGTGACTTTTTAAGATGCAGCCTCAGCTGTGTCACTCCTGCACACCTACCCCAGACAACGAGGTCAGCGGACGCCTCATCGATGCCCCTGGAGTTGCTCGCCATGCAGGTGTACGTCCCGGCGTCAGAGATGTGTGAAGGCGAGATGAGCAAACTGCCAGATTCAAGCAGGGTGAACCTGGGCAGCTGCACCGAACCGCTGGCTAACACGCGCTCACCTGACACAAGAAAATAAGTAGAAAAACAAAAATCAAAGGTAAGCATTTCTTGAAGAGTTGCATATCACCCTTAATGCCAAAGTTTTAAACTAAGATCATACTATGCTGAGAAATGACAGAGTTGTAATAGTTTTGGTCAAACAATAAATAACTAAATGTGCAATCTATGAGTGTGTCCAAAACAACAGGCCGGGTCCTCCGAAGGCCGAATTTGTCGGCCGCATACGTCACAGCCCCGCGACGAAGGACGTCCAAAACCGAAGACTCCTCCGATGCGGCCGACAAATATGTTCTTCCTTTGGCCCGAATCGAAGGACTGGTCTGATGGATCCTTCCCGGCCCAGCGTATCCCATAATGCATTGCGGCCCGACCGGAGAATTTTTTATGCTAGTAATGGCGGACGAAGCGAGAGAAAAGGATACATTTTAAGTAAAAATATGGTGATATAAAAATTAAAAAATTTAGCGGTTGTAATTCTAATACTTTTATCATTTGTATGGACATGTTTTTAAATATTATTTTTTCGTCATAAAAAACGRGAAATAAACATGAATCTACAGCGGGTCAATTAGTTCTTCAAATGATACCTTTAAGTAAATTTTATAGTTTTGTGATATTAATAATGCTAATGTATTGATATTTTTCTAATTTTGATTTAAGTTTGCTTGTTTAGCGTCGTCACAGTTGCTAGGTGACGTGACGTACGCCGGGGTGGATGGGAGGCTAGACCGTCCAAATTCACAGCCTCTTTTTTTCCGGTCTTCCCGGTCTACCAAGGACCCGGCCCACCTCGACCGGACAGTCTGGGTCCTCCGGAGGACCCGGCCTGTCGTTTTGGACACAGCCATCGTCTCCAGACTACAAGGTGGGTCATTTATAAATGTAGATACACCTAAATAAAATGGGAATGGTTGGTGATATTAATTTCCTGTTTATGGCACATTAGTATTAGGGAGGGGGAAATCTTTTCAAGATGGGTGGTGACCATGGCGGCCATTTTGAAGTCAGCCATTTAGGATCCAATTTTATTTTCTTTCCAATGGGAAAAGGGTCATGTGACACATCAAACTTATTGAGAATTTCACAAGAAAAACAAATGGTATGCTTGGTCTTAACTTTTTCCTTTAATGAGTTATGTGCAAGTTTCTCTTTGTTTACAGCCATTGACATGTTTCAGAAGTTAACGTGTAAGGAGAGGATGGGAATTGTGCTGATGTCTGTTGCCACAAACAGGAAGTTAATATCACCAACCATTCCCATTTTATTTAGCTTTATCCATATAAAGGCCCCACCCTGTTTATCACAATCATTTTGGAGATAATTTATTGCCCAGCAAAATTTATTATTGTGATAGGCCTAGATGTGAAAAACTCTCAGCAACTACTACGTGAAAAATTTGTTTGAAATCTGTGAAAATGTCAGAGGAAAACCATTTTTGTGTTGCCTAAAGTCAGCCTTTTGAGGCAGCCATCTTGAATTGCATTGACTCCAAAAGTTAATCTGCTGTAGATGTGAACCAACTGAATTCTTGATGCAAGTTTCAATTAAATTTCCATTGGTTCATGAGAAGTTTTAAACAAGAACACATAGACAAGATCAGAAACATTTTCATCCTCTGCCTTTCAGTGGCYGGCAACAATACGCGAGGAGATACATGAACAGAAGAAAAACGCCAAACAGAATGGGAGATAAGATAAAAAAGAGAGGCTTACAAGAATATAAGAACAAAAGAAGGTGGATTATGGAAAAAAAAGAGTTTTTCCTGATTTGCTGTTGGAAAGCAGCATGAAAATCCTGGAACACCCAAAATCCAGCTGAAGGAATCCAATCAGACTTTATTTGTTAAGCCACGGGGTCCCATGTGTGAAGGATAACGGGGACGATAATCCCGGGATGTGTCTATATGTGTGCATGCACATGTGTTACTGAGACCTTTCTGCCAAGTTATAGCCGGTCTCGGAGCTCCTGAGGTTTCGCAGTGGAGGATGACTGACATCCCGTCGATTACGGTGCTGTCAGAAGGTCCGGCTGTGATGTTTGGCGCGATGCCTGCGGGGGAAACAAAAACACAGAAGAAAGAGTACAGTAAAAGAGTGTGAGACTGGAACACGGGTGAGAAGTAGGGGTGCAGCTGTTGCAGTCTTCTGGCCGATCATCCATCTTTAAAAAGCCTGACCTGCTGAATCCAAATTTGGCCGATACTGAATTTTAATAACTGACWCTGTCAGGTGTTATAAGGTCATGACACACCTTCAAAGTTCCAATCTTATTTTATTGAAATACATTGAACAAGACATTTGAAACAACATAAACTTGTTTTAACTGGACAACAGCCCTCTCACAGCAGACAGTGGCTGATTTTCAGACCTTTTCAGAAGTAGATAAGATGTGTATTGATTCATGAGAATTCAGACAAACAGACAAAATCATTAGTGTTTTTCCTTTGGGCACTAAAAAAATGTTTATTTTCTGTAAGAAAATAAACCTATTGCATCCCAACATTTAAATGGTACTTTTGGATTGACACAGACTTGACACCAGTGCGTCCCAACTGACTGTTTTAAACACTTGGATAGATGGCAAGTATGAAAATGAGGAGAATAAAAGACTGATAAATGGAATAAAACAGGCATTTCAAACGATGACTAAAATCCCTCATTGTGATGATCAATAAATCCAATTCTCTCCAGGATGACAAGAATGTTCATCACCAACAAAAAGACAGAGTGGGGAGTTTTGTGTCTGGAGAAGAAAAGAGCAAACACGTTTGAGTCGAGAAAGATAAGATGATCTGTGGAGAGATGGGAGGGAAAGAGGAGAGGAAGAAGCAGCGTCAGGGAAAAAAGAAAACGAGATGGAGAGAGTGATTTAGTAACTCGGAATATTATGAATTCTGATAACAAGGCGCGTCGTGGAGTGAAAGCAGCAGGAAGTGAGACACGGTGAAGAAAATTACATGTCAGAAACTCGCTGAAAAGACGCGCAGCGAGACGACAATTACCATTGATTTTCAAATTCCTGCAGTGACACGAGCTCTGATAAAAAGTCATCTACAAATTCACGGTTATGTTCGGAGGTGAGAGGGATGCAACAAACATGGCTTTTTTTTTGTAACAATAAGCACTTTTATTGTGGAGTCACAAGTGTAGGACTCATTTTTTATAGTTCATATAAAAACACTAATCTTAACCACTTAGAAAAAATATTTTGATTATTCAAAATCATCTAAAACACCACTGTTAACTTTGTCTTCCAATATTATAAAAAGTTAGTAAAGTTTTATGACTGAAACTGTTAGTGCCTTTTTTAAGGCCATGAGAAACTTTCTTCATTGTCTCAGGTGGCAGTTTGTAGCAGAGTTGATGAGAGATGAATAGTGTCTAAACATGGTGAACTTTTTTTAAAAAAAAATACTTTACTTGTTGAACATAGTTCATACATGTCAACACCTTCAGATGTCTACCTGTTTAACCGCCTTCAGAAATCCATTAAAAAATCCTTGCAATTGTCAAATGCTTCATTTACAACACTTATGTTTAGTGTACACACAACTGAAGTAAACATTATAAAATATGTCCCTTATGAACTAATTACAATCTACAGTCCAAATCATTCCACAGACAATTCACTACTCGCTTTTTAAAAATATTTCCTCATCAAAATATCACTCTTCTTTCTCCTTAATCACCTCATAGCACACTTTCCTAGCTTCTTGTCAAAAACAGGACAACTTTCGTTATAATTGGCGATGGAGAGATCGACCCAGTTGGTCAAAAGAGGTGTCAATCAAAAGAGTAGGGCGCACACAAATATTTTGAAGCCCCTAGTGGAGCGTAGCTGGCAGAAAAACAAAGGACCACAGGAGGGCCACGTAGATGTAAGAAAATTTTGAAGCTGAGTTTTTGAAAAATCGATGTAACTTTCCCTGTATGTCTGCATGAATGAAAATGGGGGGAAAATCCCTGTAATTTACAGCCAATCCATACAATGTGACATGAATGTTCAAACATTAGTTAATGGGAGTCAATATTAAGTGAAACATACTGTATCTAAGGACAAGCATAATGGTACAAAAACTCTATAAAGGACAAAGCAAAATGTAACCAATGTCTTGAGTCTTAATTATGACCCTGAGGTTTCATACATCTAGACAAATATATCTAGTCACTTTTTCTTGAACGTTACACTTTTTTTTTTACTTTTAGTGCTTGTTTTATTTGAATAGATTAAAAGGAGTCCATTAAAAGTGTTAAAATGACCCTAAATATTTCTCTCATTCAAGGTTGCACTTCATTTCCCTTTTTGCAAAGTAATTACACCTCGTCATTTCTGAATCGAAGAAAAAGCTTTGGCGAGCTACTGGCAAAATGAACAAATTTTTCGGAAAACGAAAAGATAAAAGGCCAGTTCTCAGTTTTAACAAAACCCATCATTTTAACAGCATAAAAAGAGTTCCCTAAAAAGCTGCTGGCGCACTCACTGGTAACAGCCAGGTACGTGTTGGTCTGAACTTCTCCTGCCAGATTCCGGGCGAAACACTGAAACATGCCGGTGTCATCGGGCAGCAGGCCGTTGACCTGCAGGCTCCCTCCCACCAGCACTCTGTACCTCGGCGTCTTCACGGGATTGATGGGCGAGGCGTCCTTATACCACACGATTTCAGGCTGGGGGACTCCTGCAGATGATAAGCAATAAAAACTTAACTAGAGCACATTTTACAGCTGTTAGACAGGTCTACCACGACAGGGTTAATCTCATCAACTCTGATAATGATATTCACACAGAAAAGCACTCACCCTTCGCCTGGCAGGGAATATCCACCACCTTCTCCATCTCAGCTGTGATGTGTTTCTCTGGTTCCTTTATAAACTGTGGTGGTTCTGATACAATGGGAAGAAAAATCAGAAGAGAATGTTAATACAATGCATAGAAAGACAAAAACAAGGGGACTTCGAGCCCCGCTTGCACTCACTACACACATAACACAACACCAAAGAACCACAGCCGAAGCATCCAAACTAATAAGTCAGGTGATGGGGCACATGACCCTCTATAAACAATAGAGCTATTCAAGCCTATTGTTAGGCGATGGCCCTCTTTTGCATGTGACCAACCTGTTTGTCCATGTGGAGGCAGTGCTTATAAGGCTGAGTTCACCTGAAACTCATCAGACTGAAGAAGTCTCTTGGAGGAGAGACGAAAGGTTTCACTAAAGAAGAACCCGTCCAGAGCACCTACTTATTTTTTCTTTTTGAATACGATGCATAATGTCTACATAAGTTTTAAACTTATGTTGAAAAATAATGGAGTTTTGGTCTAACTTTGAAAAGAATAACACGATGTTAGAGATGTGACAGTCCAGCCCATTCTCACTCCCAAATAGTCACATATTGAAACTTTTCCAAGCTTTTCTCTGCATCAGGTTTTGACGCGTCGGGTACCCCCTCACGTCAGTTATTGTCGAGATGGGGCGGAATCCGTTCTAAGCTAATCTTAACCAAAAACTAGCCGTCCAAAAGCCTAAAATTACCTTCAATTGCTCTCGACATCCTGTCCCTGACCGTAGTACCTAAAATTAACCATTTTTAGGAAGTGTAGGAAATTCACGTCAACTACTGTACATGTCCCAAAGCCTAAAATTACCTAATGTTTGCCCTAGACATCCTATCCCTGACTCCACTACCTAAAACTAACCATGAACCCTGATCCCTATTATTAACTACGCACCCCAACTCAAAAACCCCTATATTTTGCGTCCCAACTCATCAAAACCAGACGCCGGGGGAACCAGGAAATGCCTGGTGCGTCAACAAGTGACGCAAAGGGGTTACAAAACACGTCAAAATAAGACGCAGAGGGAACCTTGGAACAGCATCAATATGTAACGAGTCGAGAGTGAGAATGTGTTAAACCGCCACACACGAGCCAAATCGTTTGAACGGCTTGTTGTGGACAGAATAGATACATTTTTCCCTTCTCCAAGTAATATCTTTATTTTTACTTTTAAACCACAGAGACAATTGCTCCTCTTTCACTTTCTCACAGAAAACTGGCATAAGGGGTTTCTGGTTAACAAAACACAAGGTTCCGTCCATGTGATGCGATGACATCACATATTGCGTTTGTGATGACGACACTCAATTCAATTAAATTCAAATTTTAAATATACGGTGTTGAAATTTTGGCTCAATCTCCATAAAACCTATTAAGTTGAAGCCCTTTATGTGTTTTTACTATGGCAGATCTATAACTGGGATGGCTCCAAATGTTTTACCAGTTGTAGAGGTATGACCAGTGATGACTTTCTACAAGTTTCACTAAAATTCGCCAACTTGTTCATGAGATGTTTTGGCAACAAACACATGGGCAGAAACACTATCCTCCATCTTCGCCTTCCGGCGGCAGGTGATATTAAGCTCGAAAAGCCGCAGTCAGCAGTATTAAAGAAAAGGTTAACCCCACCTTCAGCTCTGAGTCACATCACAACCTTGAAAACATCAAAGTGTTTCAGTGGGATGGAATCAAAGTGACTCTAGCGATGCTATTAAACCGTTTCTTGAGGCCAACCATTAGTTTCATCCCTTTTAAAATCAATAACGTTTTCCCATTACTGCCTCACAACTTCACAGCCATGCTTTAGTCCGAGTCATGTAGGAAGACAGATTTACATTAAGGTTTCCACCTTTCTTTTCTTTACATTTGTAAACCTAAATGCCTAGATGTTTTAGTAATATATGTAGTAAACGGAAATAGCTTTTTCGTCATATGTTGTTATGCTGATGAATGACTAAACTCTTAATTGGTCAACCTCTACATGCAATATTAAGGCTGAAAGTCATTGTGGAGAACCTTATGAAGGGAATTTGTGTATGTCACGAAATCTAAATTAACACTTCCAAATAGTATACTTTTTGTACCTTGTTATTTTCTATGAGAATTAAAGGGGTATCACATTAACACAGAATCTTATCAGTTTGTTGGTTTGAAACATCCATGTGTTCAACGAATGCCATCCTTTAAAATAAGTAACTGTTTCTAGTAATAGATATGAGAAGAGTGACAAAAAATATTTTGAGTCAATAACTGAAGCTAATTAAAGCTTCTGCTAACATTTTTTTTCTATAAAAGACCTGTTTTGTTCTCACAGAAACCTCAGAATTTATGGCAAAATGAAACATAGCATTATAACCATACTGCGATTTTCATAAAAAATGAAAGGTGTGAATTGGTGTGAAACCACAGTGGTACCAGGTGTAATTAGGACACCGTCAGCTTCAAATGTGAACGAATTGACAAAACTACAACGGTGCCAAAAATAGAGGTGAAAAACCTTTTCAATGTTATATTTCTTACCAAGTACATGAAGATAGGCTCCGGCACTGACTGAAGGCACGCTGCTGCTTCGGAGGATGGCCTCGCATTCGAAGAAACCGGCATCGCTCACCACGGGGCTGAGGATGGTCAGTCTGCGGTTGAAGTCGCTCAAACCACTGGTCACCAACACGCCGTTTTTACGCCATGAGATACTCAGCTTGATAAGAGGTCTACACAGAGAACAGGAGTGTCTGATTGGTCTATGTCCTCTAAAACAGGCGAGCTAACTGGACAAACAGCACCTCGTGGTGGCTTGATGGGTCATAAACTGAATTCCTGGAGGAATGTATTTCCCACAGTTTTGTTCTCATTCACAAGACTACTACCCCCCCCCCCCCCCACACACACACACACATCCATTTTGAGCAGGAAATGTGACCCCACAGTTTTAAGATCTTTACCTGGCGTTGGCCACACACTCCATTGTGACCTCTGAGGTGCCTGTGACCACGCTGGTGTTCTTAGGAGGGATGATGATAGTGGGGGCGATTGGATCTGCTGGACCACCAATATCTAGACAGAAAGACAGTGTATTTCTTTATTTATAAAGACATTCAAACCCTACAAAAATCTTGAAATGTAATCCTTGCATTTTCATGTTGATTGCCAAAAATGCTTCATCCCAATGAAGCATTTTTGGCAATCAACATGACTGGGATGAAGCTCAGTGCCTCCAAATCCAAGGCCATGGTCTTGAGCCGGAAAAGGGCAGAGTGCCTTCTCCGGGTCAGGGGGGTCGCCCTGTCTCAAGTGGAGGAGTTTAAGTATCTGGGGATCTTGTTCACGAATGGGGGAAGAACGGAGCGGGAGATCGACAGGCGGATTGGCGCAGCGTCTGCTGTAAAGCGGGCGCTGTACCGGTCTGTCGTGGTGAAGAGAGAGCTGAGTCAGAAAGCGAAGCTCTCGATTTACCGGTCGATCTACGTTCCTACCCTCATCTATGGTCATGAGCTTTGGGTCATGACCGAACGAACGAGGTCCCGGATACAAGCGGCCGAAATGGGTTTCCTCCGCAGGGTGGCTGGGCTCTCCCTTAGAGATAGGGTGAGAAGCTCGGTCATCCGGGAGGGACTCAGAGTAGAGCTGCTGCTCCTCCACGTCGAGAGGAGCCAGTTGAGGTGGCTCGGGCATCTGGTAAGGATGCCTCCTGGACGCCTCCCTGGTGAGGTATTCCGGGCACGTCCCACCGGGAGGAGGCCCCGAGGAAGACCCAGGACACGCTGGAGGGACTATGTCTCTCGGCTGGCCTGGGAACGCCTTGGAGTTCCCCCGGAGGAGCTGGAAGAAGTGGCTGGGGAGAGGGAGGTCTGGGCCTCCCTTCTGAAGCTGCTGCCCCCGCGACCCGACCCCGGATAGGCGGAAGAAAATGGATGGATGGATGGATGCCAAAAATGCAACCTTTATGAGCCGATGGTGTCCGTTTTTTTCTTGCTGTGTTTACAGTTCATTTCTAACATATAAACTTTATGCTCATGCTTCACACCATGTCTTTTGGTTTTGGTGTATTTTTGTTGCAGTGTTACAGTATAGAGGTAGCACACAGCAGTTTGTGCTCCTTGTTTCCTTGTGAATGTAGTAATTTCCAGAGTTTTCAAGTGGCAAAGTACAAATACTTTTTACTTCCACTCCTTACATTTTAATGCAATTATCTGTACTTTCCAGTCCTTATACTTTAAAAACATAAAAAAGTAATAGCAAAAATGCAACTTCTATTACATACTAGCTTTTTTCCTCTTTATATTACTTTTGCACGGAGCCCGCGAGGGGACATGGGGAGATTTTTTTCTGTTGCGTTCCCACGCAATAGTATTGCGTTACCTCGCAATACTTTTGCGTTACCTCGCAATATCTTGCTTTTCCTCGCAATACCTTTTGCGTTACCTCGCAATATCTTGCTTTTCCTCGCAATACCTTTTGCGTTCCCTCGCAATACCTTTTGCGTTCCCTCGCAAAAGTCGTTTATAACTGTTGTGCCTGCCAGTTTATTAACAAACTCACATGTTCACCATTAGCGAGCTAGCCTACTGCTTTATTCAGCATCAGAATGAATATATCACACAACCACGCATGGAAGTATGTCATATGTCGATATTTTAACACAGTACAGCCACGCAACATCAATGTCAATTTCACGAACTTGTGGCAACACATCCTGTTTTGGTAACTGGATATTTCAAGATAAAAGTCTGATTTAATCCAGTTCATTTACAAAACAATCTTAAAAGGAGGTAAAAGGATTGCGAGGTAACGCAATACTATTGCGTGGGAACGCAAAAGAAAAAAAAATCTCCCCATGTCCCCTCGTGGGCTCCGTACTTTTGCTTCAAATAGTCAAGCCAGTGTTTTTATACATTTATTTGAGTAAAAAGCTTGAGTAGATACTTCAACTTCTAAAGACGTACTTTTAAACCCTAGTATACTCCTATTTGAGTAATGAATACTTTAAATTCTTGAAACTATTGTGTTTGCAAAATTTTTTTTTAGAAAGGACAAAAAAGATTATTAAAGCAAAACTGTTTGTGTAGACAAGCCTGATTCAATTATCAAGCTTTGTCAATTAAAAAAAAACAGCCAAAAATCTTACAAAAGTTGTTTCACAGGAGCCTGATGACAAGAAAATCACAAAAAACCCCATATCCTTAGATATTTTTAGGTAGATCCTGTTGAAGCTGACTTACTGATGGGTGCTCTGCATTGTGAGGCAGCTGGTTGTTTGAAGGGAAAGTTTTTTAAGTGTCCTACAAATTTAATTTCAGCTCACTGCACTCTCTAGGTGCCCAATGATGTGAAATATTGAAACTGACCGGTGAACACGCTGCATCCGGGTTCTGACTGATAGATGAGACAGACGACAGACCACATAGAGCATCAGAACCAAAACTCAAAGAGAAATGCTGTTGGACCAACATAAAGAAGTGAACAGTCAGCTCTTCATCCTTTTTTTTAAAAATTTGCACCAAATGTGCAAACTAGTTTCTTTGGGACGGGCCTGTGTTTGTGTCCTGATCTTCGGACAGAGCCCACGGCTGTGAAAGCTTGAGACGTGTCATGTCTGTGATAAACTCGCAGTGATCTGTCAATCCCATCATGCCCTGGGACTGAGCTCGTGGCTGCACATGTCAGATGCTGCTACGGGGGCTGTCACGACTCAATAATACCAATCTCAGTTTTCGTGCACGCCTTGATCTCTGCCCAGAAACACACACACACACACACACACACACACACCTGAGAGGGGGTGGGCAGTGATTGACTGCTTGTCACATGTAACACACTCGATCTGACATATCTTTAAGTACGCCAAAACATTTGTCTGCTTCAAAGCGAAGGAAGAAATATGTTAATTTGACCAGTTTTGAAACCTTTGAAAGCATCACTGTTAATCTTTATGGGTAAGGAGATGGAGACAGGTTTTTAGTATAAAGACTAGGTGATGTCTAAAGACAGTTCTATACTTGCCCTACTAATATTCGCTTTATTTTCATGTAATTCCTGACTGAAAACACATCCATGTAATCTGTGAAAAGGACTGATTTGTGCTCTCAGGCAGCCTTTGTCAGAGTTTTTATTGCTTTGTTTGCAGCCATCATTAGGAAAGGTCAGGTGTTGCATTTTTCTTCAAAGTTTTCTAAACGCTCATCAAATCTCACCTCAATAGCAGCCACATGCCGCTCGGAGCAGCTGTCAAATATTCTGAATTGATGTTGCTGAAAAGGGAGAAAACTAAAAGAAAGGACTAATTTTCAGGTCTGTGTCTTCAGTTTGAGATGTAATTATACGAGGCAGATAAAGGGAACGGAGGGGGTCAAATTTAGGTTTCAGATTAGTTCTTAGAAAAGCTTATTGAAAGAGTGTTAAACACTGAAAGGAAAATTTGTCAGAGTGCAGCGATTGCGCACTGTTGCACTGGACAAGGACATCTGCAAAAATATGTACCAGTGGAAGGAAATCATTTTCTGTACCTTCTGAGCAAAGTTTGCAATGAACCGGTTAAAACGACTGATGCACTTCGAGGAAAATGGTTTATTTCATGCTATGCTCTATTGGCTTTGCGTCAGTCTTTGTTGGTTTGAAAATCATTTAAAAAGCATAATTAAATAAGCTTTAAACTTGTTTAATGTTGTTACATCTCTACCTTTATTCACTCTGCTTTCACCAGGCTTTAGGCGGACACATTTGGAGGCAGAAAAAGTAATCTGCGATGCACTGTCAGAGGCATCACTGCACCAACAGATGTGAACAAATAGAAGTGCACAAATGGTAATATAT